TCCTTCCAAGGAGTGGCTGGTGGGTTTGAACCACCAGCCTTCTGGTTAGCAGTCAAGTGCCTTAGGCACTGCACTACCAGAGCTCATGAATGTAGATGCAAAAATCTTCAACAAAATCCTACCCAATACACTGAACAACATCAAAAATATAATATACCATAACCAAGCTGGATTCAGAACAGGTATGCAAGGATAATGCATAACATAAGTGAAATAAATGAAAAAAAAATTACCATATCAGTAGATGAAAGAAAGACATTTGATAAAATCCAACACCAATTCCTGATGAAAACTCTCAGAAAAATAGGAATAGAAAGGAAAGTTTTCAATATAATAAAGGGCATGTGTGCAGAATCGAAAGCCAGCAAAAATGTCCTCTTTCTCCACTTATTTTCAACACTGTATTAGAAGTCTCAGCCAGGGAATAGCAAGAAATTGGAATCAAAAACATCCAAATTGGTAAGGAAGAAGCAAAACTATCCCTATATGCAGATGATATGATCCTATACATAGAAAACCCAAAGACTCCATCAGAAAACTACTGGAATTTATTGAAAGATTTAACATAGTGGCAGGATACAAGATCAACATACAAAGATCAGTTGGATCCCTCTACACCAGCAGAGCCCTTTGAGAAGCAAATAAGGAAATCAATACTATTTAAACTAGCTGACCATAGGTGGATGGATCTATTTCTGGGTTTTCAACTCTGTTCCACTGGTCTAAGTGTATGTTGTTATGCCAATACCAGACTGTTTTGCAACAGTGGCTGTATAGTAAGCTTTGAGACCTGGGAGTGTGAGACATCCTACTTTATTCTTCTTCTTCAGTAGTGCTTTGCTTGTCTGAGGTCTCTTTCTTTTCCATATAAAATTATTTATTGGTTTTTCCGTATCTTTAAAGAATGTTGATGAAATCTGGATCAGGATTGTATTGAATGTATAGATTGCTTTGCGTAGTATTGACATTTTCACAATGTTCAATCAATCTTCCTGTCCATAAGCATGGTATGTTCTTCCATTTATGTAGATCTTTTATAGTTTCTTGAAGTAGTGTTTTGTAGTTTTCTTTGTATAGGATTTTTGTGTTCTTCCTGAGATTTATTTCCAAGTGTTTTATCTTTGGGGCAGCTAGTTTAAATAGTATTGATTTCCTTATTTCCTTTTCAAAGGGCTCTGCTGGTGTAGAGGGATCCAACTGATTTTTGTGTGTTGATCTTGTATCCTGCCACTATGCTAAATCTTTCAATAAATTCCAGTAGTTTTCTGACTGAGTCTTTT